ATTCAAAATATATTTTATACGTAAAATTAGTTTCGCTTCAGAGCTTCTCTCGATTTACCAGTGAGTGAGAGCTTATGGCTTAAGCTTAAGCCGTGCCAATTGTCACCATTACATCGCCCTTACCATCAATTTGTAATGACATGTCTATACTATTCATTAATGGCTTTTTAAACATTATTATTTTACCTATATGTTAAATAGCAATAAATTTATTTACATTTAAACTCTTTATTAAAAGTTTAATTTATTCCCCAAAAGATTGTGGTCGAGATTACATGCATTATGAGTAGCAATTAATTGATTTTAATCTCGGGATATAATTTTATTTTTGTAAATTTAATATAATGTGCAGAATATGAGTGATTAAAGGGTGAAAATTGTAAAATCAATGAATTAGTTTTCAGGAGTGTTAAATCAATAAAATATAACTTTCTATAAAATTTTATTACCAATTTTAATGGCTTTTACTATAAACACTATAATTACTATAAATAGTATTAATTGAATGTTTCATCGAAATATTTCTCATTTAATTTCACAACATTTTGCGAAACTTTCAAAGAAAAAAAATGCTCAAAAATGTTAAGCGAATGAACTTACAATTTGTGATAATTTTCTACAGACTTCTAACTAAATGCTGTTTTATTTTTACAAAAGACTTTGAGGTTCACTAACCATAACTAATTGAGTGGAAAGTTTTATTGTATGACTTGTAGTAAAGGGTTATATTATGTTTATAAATAATATAAGACTTCTAACTAAATGCTGTTTTATTTTTACAAAAGACTTTGAGGTTCACTAACCATAACTAATTGAGTGGAAAGTTTTATTGTATGACTTGTAGTAAAGGGTTATATTATGTTTATAAATAATATTTTTAAATACGGCATCTCAGTTTGAATTACAAACTAAACTTGAATTTTATTTTTCAAAAGTGTTTATAAATTTAAATATTTACGAGAAAACAGGCATTTATTAAATCAATACATTTTTCTTATTGCATCACATTCTTAACAATTATAATAAATAATTTGTTGCATTCATGTAAGAAAAGTGAGTTCATGACATATAAATTTAAATATTTACGAGAAAACAGGCATTTATTAAATCAATACATTTTTCTTATTGCATCACATTCTTAACAATTATAATAAATAATTTGTTGCATTCATGTAAGAAAAGTGAGTTCATGACAAAAATAATCAGGGTTTACATTTAAACTAATAGATTCTAGTGAAATAAGACAATCATTATGAGGTATAAAATGTGTTAAATTCATGGTATGATATAAAAACTTTAATGTTTTTAAAAATTTGATAAAACTATCATTTTGTAAATGAAAACCTTTGCGATACAATAGAAGACCAACATTTATTCATTATAAATACATTCATTAAATAAAATGTTTTCAATTTTAAGGATAAGTAATCAACAGATTTTTATCTCATTTGATAAGTTACTTCTCATATGACAAATGAATGTTTTCCACGAAACTTCATAGAAAACATTCAATTGTCTGATAAATACGATTAATAATAAAAAATCTGCGATTCAATTGTAAAACACTTTCAAAATACAGAAATTATATTTCCTTTCGGTAACAGTCCCTCTAACCATAACTTTCAGACTAAGTAACTTAGAAGAGAAATAAGGAAATTTAACTTTCAAAATTGTGTTAAAACACTATTTTTGTTCTTAACAATTTAAGTTTTATTTATAATATATTTGTGATCTTTTCGATAAAACACTGATTTACTGATCGCTTTGTTTAAACATTGAATGAGAAAAATATTTTTGAGAAGAGATAGAAAATGTGATTATAATTGGCTAACGGCTCTCGCGGTCGGGCGTATAATTAATGGCTGTATGTGTGGTCTATAGAGTGACAATCAATGGTTTTGGTCGGTGTCTAATGGCTTGAGTTCGCGGATCTGTTTGATGAGATATGCCTTCTCGTCGTTGAACTGTTCGTCATCTGCTCTGTCGGTCTGGAATTTGGTGAGAAAGTCGACGAGTTTGTCCTTATTTCGCAACAGGATGTCCAGTATGGGCTTCGGCTTATTAGGGTTGGCCACAAACACCTTAAACACATGGAAGGCCTCGAACTGGATGTTGCGAGACTTGTCTTTCAACATAGTCATCATTAGCTTTAGATTGTCCGGAGAACTGATATAACGGGTCATTACAGTGAAGTTATGTCTGTCCAGCAGCAGCTCTCCCAACAGTTTCAGTGATTGCCGTTTTGTCACATAATTGCCGGAATTCAGTAGATTTTGGTAGCAATTGAAGAACTTGTCGTAATTAGACTCTAGAAAGTCGGCGCTCAGACTCTTATGCCGAGTGAGAAGCTCTTTGAATGTGGAGAAGGCGTCCGATGCGATGTCGAAAGTGGACACTTCCACGTACTCGAAGAACTTGTAGTAGTCGTCCGATTGCAGCATTATTTTGGCCAAAGCCTCATATCGGGCGCACTCGCGAAGCATTGACCCGCAGTTCAGAGCGATGTCGTGCTTCTCGTAGCCGTCCATCAGAGTGAACAGGATTTCCGGTTTAGTGCACATGTACTCGACGGTCGGCGATCGGGTGCCGATCTGACGCCTGAGGATATTGTTGAACACCTGCGCGACGTCCTTCTTGGCCTCAAACTCAATGCGCGACAAGTTGTTGATCAGCAGCAGCAGGAGGTTCGAGTTGTACAGCTCCTGTGCCAACTGAGCCACAGCTATGTCTGTCTGCGGTTCCGTGTCGTTCGTGCCGTACAGCATGTTCTTCATTAGCACCAGATTCTTGGACACATCCTCCTGAGCTTTGTCTGCCTTCTTGTCGCCCCTCTCCAGAGCCACCAACGCCTCCGACAAACTCTTAATCAGTTCGTACGGACTCTTCGACGACTTGCCGAACAGTGGCATCACTTCTGTGGCACTTCACTGACGATCAAAAACTATGTATCAATCGGTTATGCAATCGACGGTCACTTCAGGTGATCTCTTCTCTTCTCAAGTGTCACTTCTGTGGCAAACGACTCAATCAAATACCATATCTTTGTGTTGAATCAAAACAAACAAACAAATCATGGATTAATTGATAAATAAAATGATAATTAGACACAACATTAGAGTGAATGGTAGGTTCAGTTCAGATAATTACCATTAAATTGAATGCAAATCAATAGCAAAGCGTATGATTAGTTTGACTGATGAGTGAGTAATAGATAATAAACAGTAGTAATAATGGTTTGCTATTTAGACACACAGTTGAAGCAAATGCTTATTTCACTGATAATTTCAGTGACACTACTTCTTATGGTAATTGTTCACCAATACAATAGAGTGCATACAATATATTAATATTAATCACAATTATCAATAACTTATGAATAATACAATCATTTGAGTCAATGTGTGTACAACTGAAAGGTGTGACACAAACACAACAAATACAATACGATTGCAGTACTAATACAGCACTCAATACTACAACAGTATATCAACACCAATATTACGCTTAATGTATAATTGAATACACTTTTTGGTTATCAATGTCTATAAACAACACATTTATTGTTATTACAAATGCATTCAACAATGATTATAATGCCATAAATCGCTGCATTCAACGGGATTTGCTGTTATTTATGTTATATAACATTAAGCGTGTATTGAATGCATTGATAATATAATACCTTATATTGAATATTGTTTTTATGGCAAAACCTATTTGATTGAGAAAGTGTGCCCACAATATACCCCCATCTATGGCCTATTTCTATGTCATGTCAAACGGACACCACCAAGGGGGCGGACATCACAGACACAGCATTTATTTGTCCATCACTTGTCTCTTAAGTAAAGTCTTGTCTCAAGAGTCTTGACTATCCTTTCATCAAATCACTGTCTATTTAGCTATTATTTTCACTTTTTGGAGATTCATTAGTCTATTATCTCAATGATAACCACAGGTGTAGTCAATACTGGCTTATAATGGCATACCTTTAACAGGGAGTGGAAAGTGTGGTTCACGTAATTGAGTGATGACTTACGGCTAAAAGTTTACCACTTGTTTTTAAATAGAGAGTGTGCTGGATCATTGACAGACTGGCTAATTGTTGCAATCAGTTATGTTATACTTAATCGGATTGGGTTTAGGAGACGCCAAAGACATCACTGTTAAGGGTCTGGAGATCGTGAGGAGAGCCAAACACGTGTTCCTCGAGGCCTACACTTCCATACTATCGGTTCCAAAGGAAACTCTTGTAATCACATCACGAGACAAACTTTTGCCAACAATTTGATCATAGTTTGCATTATAGGAAGAATTTTATGGCAGAAAAGTAGTCATCGCTGACAGAGATTTTGTAGAGCAGTCATCAGATGACATACTCGCAGATGCCGTCGACAATGATGTGGCCTTTCTTGTGGTGGGAGACCCTCTCGGGTGAGACAATACCGGTGTATCTCTTGTCTTATTAATGCTCTGATTGGACACAACAGAGCGACCACTCATACGGACCTGATATTGAGGGCCCACCAGACAGGTGTTCAGCACCGACTTATACACAACGCCTCGATTATCAACGCTTGTGGTGCGTGTGGTCTTCAGTTGTATAACTTCGGCGAAATTGTTTCCATTCCCTTCTGGACGGACAGTTGGAAACCAAACAGTTTTTTCGATAAGATATGCGCTAATCTTAAGTCCGGATTACACACACTGTGTCTCTTAGGTCTGCATTTTATTAAAACTAAATCACTTTCCAATCAATGAATTCATTTGAAAAAAGCTTTTAATTGCAAACAATTGTAAAAATAGTTTTATTTGTGTCTCTAATAAGTTATAATTAATTTATTAATAATTTATTTCAAAGATATTAAAGTGAAGGAGCAGTCGATTGACGCTATGATTAAAGGGAAAGTAGTCTACGAACCGCCCCGTTATATGTCTGTCAATATAGCATCGAAACAATTGTTAGAAATCATTGAATCGAAAGCCACTGACAGTTATCCCAATGAGTTATTCAATGAGAAAACAGTAGTCATAGCGTTGGCGAGGATTGGATGCGATGACCAGACTATAAAGACGTGTCAATTGAAGGATATGTTAGCCATCGAAATGGGAGCACCACTTCATTCGGTGATAATTCCCGGGAAACTACATCCAATCGAAATAGAAATGATGTCTATATTTGCCGACAATTCGCAGACCAAATAGAAAATTAAAATAATTTACAAATAAATGGATTATTCCTTCAGAGAGACAGTCCTGAGAGCGTCCTCTTCGAGGATAGCAAACGTCACTTTCGCGCCGTCATTGAACTTATAGGACAGCCCGCCGTCGATGACTATATTCGCGTCAGTCATCCGCGACTTCAAAGATATAGTTTTGGCGAAACCTCTGGGATTGCTCTGGAATTCAGTGCCGAACACAACGGGATCTCTGATGACGTACGCCATCAACGGTTCCGACGGATCGAAGATCAATGAATTGTTGAACTTTTCGGTCACTCTTTCGATAGCTTTGGTGTCATTTTCTGGAAGAGTTTGTCCATTCATTTCAGTGTTGATGATCTGAAAGAGACTTTGAACGCATTGTGGCGTCACTTTGTTGATGTTGAAGAACCAAGAGGTGGATCCCGTGCCCGTACACACCGTCAGACCAGAGCTCTTCAGCTTCGCTCTCGTCTTATCGTTCACTGAGAACTCATAGTAAGAGACGCGCGAAGAGATAGTTTCGCCGACAAACACCTCATTCAACGCCTTAAACGGCAACACCTTCTTCACAGTCTTGGCATTGCGGACACACTTCGTGTCCTTCGAGTCTTGACTCGACTCCAGGTCTAAGAACCTGTTCTCAAGACATTTGAGTTGTTGTTCGTGGAGTTCGAGGGGCTCTTCATTGGCGTTCTCCGACTCGAGGATCACACGAATCCGTTGTCTGTATTTCCATTTGAAGTGTCCATCGCTGAGGAGCCGAAGAGCTTCACCGAAATTATTGGAATAGCGTTTGGGAAGACAGAGGTGACCAACCGATCGCTGGGGATCACTGTTCACACCAATCAGTGGTTTATTGCGATTATTCACTTTAGAGGCGGCCATCAGAAAGGTTCCGTCGCCTCCAGAGGTGATGATAAGGTCCGCCCACTCGATGTTTTTGTCCGTATATTCTGTTCGGTTCACGACTTTGGTCTCAATTCCCGACGCCTTCAGACATTGGGTGATGTGGTCTTGACTTTGCTTATGGATGTTGTGGTGGGATATGAGGCGCTTATAATCACTGCCACGACTTTCCAACTGATGGACGGATCAAACAAAGAGACAATGAATGAGATCATCGGACAAGTGATTGAGTGCTTGAAAAGCTTACAGAAGTGATGAGTTGTTCTTCACTGAGGTCTGGGTTCCGCTTCTTCTCGAACTCATATCTCGAAAATTTGGTCAAAACTAAGGCCCTCTTCGGAGTGAAGGGTTCAATGGGTTCCGAGAAGTGATGGTCCGTCGAAGACATCTGTGGTGTGAATCGATAGCAACGGATTGGATTCAAGTGAACAGAAGAGTGATCGCAACAAATGAGTGGAAATAAAGTCTTGGGATTAGAGAGCCTTCCCATCGCTGGGGATGCGCTGAACAGTCTCAGCAATACTTGTGTCATATTTGGTGACAATCACTGCCAAAACAGTCATTATTACAGTGTTTTGCACACAAACTGCTAATCAGTGAATGTGTTGCCAAACAAAGATAAGACTCATTCAAGTGATCACTACTTGCATTGACTGGCAATCACTGAACACATCCACTCTCTCTCACACCACTCAATGCAATCACATTTGCAATCAATTCATGTTTACGTCTTCCTTCCCATCAATTATGTCTCATAAAGACATCAACTCTTTGAACACAACTTCTCATAACTTATGGACAAATTGTATGGAAATGTGTGTCGAGTTGGAGAGAGTGAAGCCTTTGTCCACTAATAACGTGACATAAGGGGCAGTGAGTGTGAGAAGGGGGCAATTGTGATGCAGTGAGTGGTGTTGTGGGACTGCATGACTGCCAGCTGTACCTTATTTGATGTGTTTTCGTGATTTGAAAACTATTTGAACAATTAGTTTGCAATTGATTTGTCGCGCAATTGTGGCCAAAGTGTTGACACATAAGTGACCGCAAGAGTGAAGACACGGACAATTGTCTCAAATGTTACCCAAATATTCAAATGATAAGGAATATAAGGTGACCCATGCTTTCAAAGTGAAAGAGAAACTTAGCGGATGGCTCAGGTATGCGGCACATGGCTATGGCCTACCATTCATTGTGACCACTACTCTGACACTTAGTTCTTGTGTCCACTTCTAGGCTCATATTGTCGGACAAAAACTCGAGAAATTTATTTCTCTTTTTATTGCTGAATCTCTCCTTCGCTTTCGTGGAGCTCTCGTATGGCATATGGACTAACAGGTACTCAATCACCGCCTTTCTCACCACCAATTTGTGTCTCACGTTTGTGACAATCTCTTTTCGCACAGTCTGGGATTAATATCGGACTCGTTCCACATGTTCTTCGACTGTACGGCCCTATTGGCGGGTTTGGCCGCTTCCGTGATCACCAAATGGCGATCCAATGAGCGCTTTTCTTACGGGTAATCAAGTGATAACTGAACCATAAATGAGTGGTAATAATAGAAATGATTGATTGATGTGTTGTTCAGTTACGTGAGGGCCGAAGTGATCGCCGGTTTCGTGAACGGGTTGTTCCTCTTATTCATCGCATTCTTCATATTCTCAGAAGCGGTCGAACGGGCGATAGAACCGCCGGAAGTGAAACACGAGAGACTGTTCCTGATCTCAGTGTTGGGTCTTCTGGTAAACCTCGTGGGCATCTTTGTCTTCCAACACGGGGGAGCGCACGGACACTCCCATGAGGGCGGCGGCGCTCACAATCACTCGCACGGCAATCATTCGCACTCACATAATGGTCACTCACACCACGGCCACAGTCACGAGAGCACCGGTGGTCACTCGCATTCCAGCGCCGGCAACACCAGTGATGTGAGCAACCGGCAGATCATGCAGGGGGTGTTCCTTCATATTATGGCCGACACTCTCGGAAGTGTTGGAGTGATTATATCAGCCATTCTCATGAGTTACTTCGGATGGATGATAGCCGACCCCATCTGTTCCATGTTCATCGCATCGTTGGTTGCGTTGAGTGTAATCCCACTCCTGAGGGATTCGATTAGCATTTTGATGCAAAGAACTCCCCGTGAATTAGATCCTCACTTAGCGGGCTGTTACCAAAGGGTAAGTCCACTCACTCACTACACTAACAAACGCATCGATCGGTGAACTAATTGAATATTTATTTGATGATTAGGTGATGCAATTAGAAGGTGTGCTGAGTCTTCAAGAGCCACACTTCTGGACGCTGTGTTCGGAGGCATACATAGGTTCGGTGAAAGTGGAGGTCTCCAATGCGGCCGACCCTCGATATGTGTTAAGCCATACCCACAGCATATTCGCTCAGATCGGAGTCAAACAACTTTATGTTCAAATAGATTTCGCTCCCATTTGACCGCATTTTTAGTATTAATTAATTCATTTATAAATTTTATTAAATTAATCATCAATTGTTGTATTCATTGATTTTTTCTAATTTATATATAAATATATCGTTTGAAATGAGTGAACAGATTATGGCTTAGTTTGCAATCAAATGAAATATTTTATTCCGTTTTTAGACACAAGTATTATTGAATTGGATTCAGACTTGTTTGGCATTTATTGAGTTCATTGTTTACTGTGTTTAGCAGTAAAACTACATATAGTTTCAATTCATAACAATATTTTTCTGATAAGACTTTCAAATCTTCGAATTATTTATTCCTTAAATTAATTTGTTTTTTAGTGAATCACAAAATTTTTGCTTCCAATGTCAATTTGCATACAATTTATGGATTAAGTTATTTATAGACAAATAAAATGCAAATTTACATTTGAGGCAATCATACAATTGTTTCATATATACCGCTAAGCGTTAATCTGTTGTCAATTTGTAACATTAATTTAATAAAACTTATATTTTTATAATAATAATTCATTTGAAATGCTTTTGAAAGCTATTATTCCTTTCGTTTTGTGAAATGTGACAAAAGTTGACAAATATTTACATATTTTGCAGAAATTATTTCAATTCAATCTTTTATGACTTTTTTAGACAACTATTGCAATAATAGAGAGTAAACTAAACATTAGTCGTCGTCTGAACTACTGGTCGACTCGTCGTCGAGGTCTTCATTGGTGCCATTCATACCATTGACGCCATTTTGGGGCCACTTCTTCGGACTCAGATTTAGTTGAATCGTTTGGTTCGAAACAGTGTTCCGTTTAATACCATTCATACCATTCCTGTTGTTTATGAGATCTTTAAACTCTTTTACTTCATCCTCAGTCAACGGTGCGTATGAGGGGTCGTCGTCCTGTCCAGCCTTCCAACCCAACTCCAGAAGCAAACGGTGTTCCGCTTCTAGAGAACTCGACAGAACTCCCATATCGTCTTCATATTCATCCGGTTTGACACAAATATTCTTATTATTCATGTTTTGAGTGTTTTTCACATCATTCTCAACACAACTGCTTTCGGATTCTTCGATATTATTTCGATGATCTGATGTAATGCTCAATACTCTCAACTTTTCTTCGGCATCATTGCTCTCTTTATCTCTGAATTGACTCAAGAAATCGCTTTTATTTGACCGCTTTTTAGGGTTCTTCACCAGTATTTCCATCGCTGGAGTAGTCGCTTGAGTCGTGCTTTTAGTGATCATCGGTTGGATTCTCGAGTAAATGGCGTTCTCTTTGAGAATTCCTGTCTTCTTAGTGCCGATCAATGATATATTACGATAGACGCCCGAAGAGATGGGGGCTTTGGAAGGGTTTGATGTGATGTTTGCGTCCAATTTGTTAGTGCTTTGGGTGTTATCAAAGTTGCTGTGAATGAGTTGGAAGTTCTTCGATGTACTCAACACTTTAGATTTGGTGGCGTTATTACTCCACGCGCTGTGAAAACTCGAGTTATCATTGGATCCACCTTTTTGTCCACCATTCATGTCATTCACTAACGACGGAAACTCTTGATTGAAGACATTATTACAGTTCTGTTCGTTGGATGTGCTCTTCTCTATGGACTCGTTATCCAAACTATAATCGAGTGAATTATTACCGAAAGACCTCTTTGTTGGCGAATTGAAGTTCGGTTTGAATGGATCGACGTTTCGGTTGATTTTAGAGCTGGAATGATAGGCATTCGTAGGGGTCTTATCGCGATAACCGGTGCCCCGAAAGGAGGGCCGTTGGCTCGAGTCGGTGTACTTTTTGCCGCGAAATCCGTTCACATGACTACTACTACTGGTGTTAAACTGCTGTTCGCTTCCAAATGAATTATGTCTTAAATAAGTTTGTGATGAGTCGTGAAAACTGTTGGGAAAGCGTTCGCGCGATTCGCCGGTCGAGAGACTGTTTGTGCTGTTATTCAACTCTTTGTGATGAAAATTGTTATAACTATTTGATTGTCTTCTGTCTCGTGAGTCGACCCCTGACGCAGACGATGGGCTCACAGTCGACGAGCTTTTCCTGGAGGAGAGCTGAGGGTCCGGTAGTTTAAGCCACGCGGGAGTGAAGAAGTCTTGAGCGATCGGAGCGTTGGGGCTCTCCATCAGTAATGCCAAACAAAGACCATAATTAGGTCTCGTCTGGACTTCTGGCCAAATCAGGAGCTCGCCGTCAGTGGACAGGCAGTCAGTGTTTACTTCAATCACCGATTCTTACCAATTATTATAATAATTATAAATCTTTGCAATACTTGTGAGAAATAGTTGGTCTTTGAACTCTTCTTGAGGACTTCAATGGTTGACTCAATATTATAAAAATATGTCCAATAAATGACTAATAAATGGCTTAAATAATCATAAATCTAACCGAATATACAGTAATAATAATAAATTTGTTTAAAAACGAATCGTTGCTATAAAAGCACGTCCTATAAGACACTTCTTCAGCAAAATAATCAAAATTTAAACCATTTTCTATCAAAAGGCAGTAAAAATGTCGACTTTTTGGTCAAATGTTGTGATGAGTTGAATATAAGTCTCAATGAAACAGAAAATCTTCGTTTAATTAATTATTCATAGCTTTTAGTGTTTGTGTTTGGCTTTAGTATCGTCCAAATGGTCATCAGATATCCATAATTAACAATAATTCGCCAAAAATTGCAATAATTTTCATAACAAATATAAATACGGTTTCGTAGGAAAAACCACTAAATATTACAAAAAGGATTCATTCGTCAAAAAATCTTCAAACTTGTCATCAATTAATCAAAGCATCGAAAAAACTTATTATTAAAAAACAATTAATTAGCGATGAATTGAAAACATTAAATATAAGGATAAATATATAGTCGATAAAAATGAGCGAAAAACGAGTAGTGAAACGGAAAACCAATTATTACTGAAAACGTTGTGTGTTTTGAATGGTGTTTGTAATTTGGAGCCAAATATTAATCAATAATAATAATAATATTGCGGTTATTATAAGCGAAACGAGGAAAACATTCAATATATTTGGCGATTTGTGTCACAGATTTGCCATTGAATGCCAATTCAGTAAAACTTATTATCAGTCCATCGATCGCTTCAAACACTATATCAACGAAACAAATACTTTTAAATCAATTCATTTGTATTTCACTATTAATACATCATTTAATAAGACATTCACTACTCATATGACACTACAGTAGCACTCAATACACCATTCATTGCACTCAATATGCAATCAATGAATTCATTCAAAATGTTTCCTCATTTCCTAATTAATTATACGATTAATGAGTGAATACTTAAATACATTATCAAATATAGTTCACAATAATATACAACTCGTATCAATATATCAATTAAAAGTCATAAAAAGCCAAAAATATAAACTTATTTACCGTTTAATAAAATAATAATTTGTCGTTTAATTAGTTGATTAGCAAAAATGATTATTAAAATCAGATATTAATGTTATTGTCGTAAAAAATTGCATAAATTTTATAATAATTAATGAAAGGTTAGAAAAAACACAGTTTTCACGTCAATTACAAGAGACTTGTATATTTGATAAATAATTTTAGTCACAATTTATTGCTATTTGCTCGCAAAACACGGATTTTAACGATTGTTATGTTATATGTTTGAAACACAAAACCATTCATTCATTTCAATTGAATACTCAAAAGAGATTTAAGCGAAAAAATGGCCGAAATTTGTATTATAAGGGAAACGGATGTAACGTTTTGTGCAATTATTTTCACAACTTTTTGAACACTTTCTCCGACAGACCTCTCGCTGTGTCTTAAATACACTTTTTGACCACCATTTGGTCCACGAGTTGGTCAACAAATACACTCAATGTGTAGTAATAGGTGTGAAAAGTGAACAAACTTTACATTCAATACAATCAATGACTAGATATGAAGTGAAACAACTGTTTTGCAAACTTATGTCCAAAATATTTGTCTGTATTTCTCACATAAATGGCGTTCAAACGACTGCCAAAAAAGTTGATTCAAGCGATTAATCAAACTTTTGCCACACTTTCGCACATCTGTTACAAATAATTTACTTAATTATATGTTTTGCTTAAATATTTCATCTCATAACCAAATGTATTGATTAATATTTGCACAAATGATGTGTTAATAGTATTAAATGAGTGCTACGATTGACAGGCAAATGAGAAAAAGCTTTTTTGAATAATTGATTCACAAATACATTGCGATTTCAATGAGTGTCCAATCAATTGATTTCTAGTGATTAGTGTTATGAACAAAAATTTTTTGTTACATAAGAGACATGATATGAGTATTTCTTATCAATTGTATAGCTATCGACAAAATATAAATCATTGCATTTCATATGAAAGTCTTTAAATCTGGTCTAAAATTAAGATTATATGACAAAGAGAATTGTATCAAGGTACAAATGACTGTTAGAGTGGGCTACTTGAGTGTCAAGGCAATGAATGACTTATTTATAATATTTGACAGCTATGTAAATACAAATAAAATACTTATATAAGACTTTTAAAAAGTTTTTTCAAGTATTGATAAGATATAGTCGCCTACAGTCGCAGTCGATTACCACTGAATTGATAAATGAAATACTGTATTAATACATGAGTTTCACTGTACGGTTACATTACAGTATTGCATACAATTTCAGGTGAATTTCACACCAAAATACTAAATGACATCACATTTGTTGTGTTCATCCAAATCATGTCCACAAATATCGTATTAAGTTTTGCACTACATTTTTATATGTTTACCCAAATCAGCTTATTTTACATGTAATTAGTTAAAAATACGCCTGGTATAAATAAATATAATTAGGCATTGATTGTCAAATTATAAGATCTTTATATTTTGTATCATTTTCTGACAATTTCTTTGCCCTCCACTCGCTCTAAATGTAACGATATTTGTGAGCGAATGCATGCGTTTGCCATCAATTTGTTGTGATTTTGAATGCAATCAAAGATATATTTTGGGATCAATTGAGACAACAATTAAGTG